CGGAATTCGAGTTGGGTAAAGGATTCCTGATAATAATAGCTAAGAAAGCCTGAAGAACTCTCACTTCCTCATACCAAGACTTGTCCTCTGGGCATTAGCAGCAGAGGTGGGGGGATGCCTCTTCTTTGCTTTCAGCTCCTTTTCTGCAATGAGTGCTCTCTGGGTTCACCCCAATAAGAAACAGAAGGATAAACATCCAAAATGTCTGGTTTCACTATTAATGGTTTCTTTTATCCTCAAGTATTTTCCTGATTGTCTTTAATTGAGGAAAATCAAAAGAGGCTAATGTCTTCAGCACTGACAGCTAATAGCTCTTAGGCAGCTACCTCACCTGGGGGTGAGGGGTGACTCTTGTGCCCTACATGGGAACGGAAGGAGGGGTGGCCAGGCAGGCCCACTTCAGTCAAGGGCAAATCTCTGAAGAAGATCATAGGAGAAAGTTCTTAGCTCCTAGTTCATAACAGCAGGGGATGGGTGCACTTGGAGGGAGAATTTCAGCTGGGTGCTCCAAGACCATCTCCTGTGGTGCCTGGTAGCGATCTCCCATCATGAGGCTGATGCAGCTTTCACAGCTTATACCTTACTATGTACCTTACTATTCCTACATTCATTGTACGCCTCTCCTCTCATTGTACTACAATTACTTGTGCCTTGATAAAATTCATAGCTAAAGAACAAAGAACTAAAAAAAGTGAGATGAAGCCTAACACTTGCCAGGATGCTCCATCCAGAGTCATCTTGAGTGGGGTGCTGGTTAATAGTTCTACAAGGGAAGGGAGAGAAAGCCCTGGTGTAGCATTTGCCCAATTCCTCTGGTAAAAATACTTCTGCCCCAGATGACCATCTAAAAACATTTCTGAATAATTAAAACTCCACTCACAGGAATCCATGTGGCACACCACTGCCAAATGCCTCCCCATGGTGCCCATCTAAGGGATGTTACAATCTGAGCTCCTGCTACAGCCCCTGAGTAAAGAAAATAAACACTGGCAGACCCGTTTTCTAGAAGAAACCTGAAATAGTATACCAAAATCTGGATAAGGTGAATATTTGTGAAAAAGAGAGCCATGAAGAAACCAGTTCGTTATAGGAGAAGTACATTACATGGCCTGGCCTGCTTCTCAGCATGTTGCTGAGCTGGGGGGTTGGGGAAAGTTTCTCTCCTTTTTAATATTCCTTTGTCCTCCCAGTGTTGTCAGAAGGAGCTCAATTCACAGGGAAGGTCAATCACTCTAATAGATGGATAGCTGCCTTTGGTAAGCAAATTAATCAGGTGAAGAACCACATCTTTACCAAAGAGTTAGGTCAAAGCCAGAGGTGACCCCCATAAGGCACCAGGACTGCTTCCCATGCATCTGACAGATGCAAACAGCCTTCATCTAGACTGAGCTGGAAGGCAGAGGCCTGGGGAGCCTTATCTGGCACCAGCTCCGGCCTCAACTTGGACCTGCCCCAGATAAACTGGAAATTTCAAGGCTATGCCAGGCATGAGGTTATGCAGAAAGATAAGATACGTATTCCCTTCCTCACCCCACCACGACAAAGCTAACCATACCCCATTCCAGCCAAAGGGGCAGAAAAAAAGACAAAACCACCCCATCTAAGTGAGAATGTCAGCAAATGGTCCTTAAAACTAGATGCCCCAGACATGCTGGGAGCGGCTCTCTGTACCATTCCTCCTTATCATGGGAAAAAGGGAAAAGTGTGCAAGAAGTAGATGTTCTGTACCTACAGGTCATGTGTAGATAAAAACATTGAATCTTGTTGAAGTGGGTAAATATTTATTGAGCACTTACTATGCACCAGTACCTGTGCAGAGGTCTGAGATAGAAAAGTAAAAAGCACAGTCGGAGCACTCCTTCAGAACTCCTCCCCAGCTAGTAGCAGCCTCCATCCCTGCTCAACCAGGGTCTGGGAGACCCATCTGGGTGCCCATGGGCATGAGTGTCTGCTGGGTGCAGAGCGTGGAGCCAAGAGCCAGTAGAGGACAGAGGATGGACATTCAGTTGGACAGACAGACCTCGCAGAGTTAAGTTGAAACCCAGGCAGGGAGCAGACATCAGGAAGAGGAGAAGGACACAGGCCACAGCTGCCAAGACAGTCAAGTAAGTTCGGTGTAAAGTAGAAGCCAGCACTTGGAAGATTCCTAAAGTGAGAGCAGAGAAGCCTTTATTTTATTTTATTTTTTATAGAATGCCTGCAACCTCCACCTTTCTGAAATGAGAGTTATTAAAACTATTATAACTGATTCAGGATCTCTCAAGGCTTCCACATGCAATATTCCAACAAATCTAAAATACTGTCAGTAGTTCCATTAATTGGTATGCCAGGAAGGAAGGAAGAAGGGAAGGAAGGAAGGAAGGAAGGAAGGAAGGAAGGAAGGAAGGAAGGAAGGAAAGAAGGAGAGGGGAGGGGGAGAGGGGGACGGAGGGGAAAAAAAGAAGGAATCGTAACAAGTTATGATACACCCCTGATTTTAAATGTATTCCAGTCTCAGAAATGTTAAAATAAGAAGCAAAACATATCATAGAATCAGTGGAATATAGTAGTTGGACATAGATATTTAAATAAAATAGATGAGGAGGGAAAGAACACTGACAGTGGACACAGTGAGAATCTTGAAAAAGCGTGTAGACAGGCAGAGTCCAGAAAAAAGGAAGGAATAATGGAGTGACCCCTGGCTTAGCTATCTCTAAGAGAATAATATCTATCGGGAGTCTTTTTCAGCTGTTTAGAGACCTTTATAAACATGGTCTGCGTTGTTCCATTCCTCTAAGCAGTATCTTTTCTCTCGTATCATATCCATCTATAGGGGAAGAAATTGCCATGAGCACCTGGAAACAACTGAGCAGTGTCTTATGTGAAGATAGATGAGAGAGAGAGAGAGAGAGAGAGAGAGAGAGAGAGAGAGAGAGAGAGATGGGACAGATGTAGTTATATGAAGGCTTGGAATCTGTGATCCTTTTCTTTCCATGCATATACATTCTGTTTCCTATCCCTGGTAGGGTTGGCTACCACTGGGTAAAAAAGAAATTTTTTTACTGGTACAAAGGAGTAGTGATGTTACACAATACCATAAACTTGGGCGTGGTGGATGAGTGACCCCAGGAGGGAGGCAGGCAGCAGAAAGTTAGCTCTTAATAAAAGCAAGGTGTAGGCAGGGCTCTAACACAAGTGGAAAACAGAAAGACCAAGTAAGACCACTTTGACGGCGAGCCTGGAAGACCAGAATGAAAGAGCCATGAGGAGGGGAAGGAAGGATGTCGTTGGCCCACAGCAGTGCGCTATGACAGGACAAAATACAAGAAGTCTAGCACAGAGAAGCTAATGGCTGGAAAGCTAGAGAGGGCCTTTATCTGCCTCCTGGCTTCCCCTGGTACCAGCAACATCGGTGTAGACAAATTCTGCACATCTGCTCCCTTGGATTAGAGCAAGGAAGCGGTAGACAAGAAGCTGCTACAGAGGCTGTAGGTCCTCAAGGGCCGAGCCTGCCCTCCTGTTCCTCTGTGTTCCCACAGTGTGCCCTGTCTCCGGCAGGGGCTCAGGGAGCATTTCTGGTTTTTCCACGAAGGGCATTTCTTCATTACAATCCTCCTCAACACTTATAAACACTGGCCCTGAGAACTGAGGACATTCCAGCACAGATTATCTGGGCAGACAAGGCCTTTGTCCAGCTTGGACCACACAAGACCAATCCACGTGCTTGCCTGGGGCCTAGAAGGAAGGCCACCATGCTCCGCTGAACAATATAGGTCAGAGTTGGAGGCCCGGGGCTGCTCTCGTCCAAACCTTTGAGTCAGAGGAAGAAACTGTGACCCAGAGAGCTGAAGTGACCGTGAGTGGGGACCCAAGCCTCCAGGTCCCAGTCTCTGTCTATCACACATGGTCCCCATGATTGCCCCAATCCCACATGCGCCGCTTGAGCAGGCTCTGCGTATCAGCCTGGGAGTGATGATGGAAGCAAAGATCTGACCTCAGAAAAAAAAAGAAAAAAGATCTGACCTCAGCTCAAAACAAGATGCAGCCCCCAGTGTGCAGAATGGTGGGTCTCAGACACTGGCCAGTGTGGGAACAGGCTAACGCACACAGTGCTTTGCCATACAAGATGTGAGTTCTCCTGGAAATGTCCAGAAGGAATCACAGAGAGCAGAGGAGAGAGTATTTGTCAGGAGAAGTGGTGGTGGCGTGGAGGGTGGGGGTGGGCAGTGAGTACTGTGACCTAGCAGCTTTCCCATCCCCATCACTCCTCCCCCGGAGACACCCCCTCTGCAGGTCTGCAGAGTGTTGCCAGCAGATGAGGACGATGTGTCTGCATCCGTTTCTCCTCGCGGCTCTCTTCGGGGGGTCACTAGGCACCCGAAACGGAAACAAAATAACAGTTGGTGTAATGAAAGCAGGTGGCTGGCTCTGACCTGGAGGGGGAAGTGGCTTGAACAATTACTTATGTGGCCCAAGAAACGCGGAGTCAAAATCAGCGCGTAAGTGGAATGTGTGTGTGTGTGCCTGTGTGTCACCTCGTGAGCAGCAAAAGCTCTGAGGGTCTTTCTTTCTCACACACGCACACGCACACCGCGTTGGCAGTGTTCACAGGGCCCTCCCAAGAGTGGGCCACCAATAATTTTTTGTTGAATGACAATTTAATTCATTTAACGAAGGATCGAATGACTGGATCAGTCAGTGGAGCAGACGCGTCGGCTTTTGAGAACGAGGTGTAAGACTAGACCAGTGGCACGGCGGAAATTTCACCAGCGGTGTTTAGGGAGATGATGGCTGAAAACATTGGGGAGGTCAATGCAGATGGTGAATGCACTTCAAGGAAGGAATTAGAATGCCCAGGAACAACGTTCCAGCTCTCTTTATCTGTGAATGACTGATCCCAACAGGAATTAAAGAGTTATTAGAAAATAGAGTTAGAGTTAATAGAGTTAACTCTATTAGCTCTAAAATAGAAAATAGAGTTAATTTAGAAAATCAAAGGAAGCCACCCTGTGCACTTATTATTATTAAACACTCTTGTTTACCTAGAGAGAGAGAAAAATCCAGCTCACCCCACAGAGATACACCCCATGTACTATATATATATATATATATATATATATATATATATACTGCATATATTCTTATGCACACACACCCCATAAACCTTATACAGACCATGTATACGTACAGTGTATGTCACCTTACACAACGAGAACGCATACACTACTTCCAGGGTCCTGACTTAAAGTGATTTCAGACCCTGATACCGCATTCAGTATCCCAATTTATAATCACTTAGATTCTGGAAAAAGTTCCCAGGAATGTAAAGAAAAACACTGAAAATCCCAGTGTCTGATAGTCCCTTCATGTCAGTTTAACCTTAATTGCCTACAGTAAGTCCAATTAGTGGCAAATCAGATTTCCCCTTCATTTCATCCGATGAAGTAAGCTTTGGCAGGAGCATCTGCCAGCACAGACCAGGGTGAAGAGGGAGAGAAGGATGAGGCTCAGCGGCGCAGTGGGCAGAGGGCGAGGGACCCAGCCAACCCCACGCTGCGGGCAGCTGGGGTCCCCAGCACTCCCCCTCCACGCTGTGCTTCCTTCCCATGCTTCCTGCGCTCTGGCGGCCCAGCCTTCCTCCCGCGGCCCAGTGTTCTTCTTAGAGCTTCCTTGTCTTCACTGAAGAATAAACTGTCTCACGTAGAGTGTAGAGTTTTTATAACTGATTCTTATAAGCATCGAATCCAACAGGGAAAATCCTAGAAAAAAAAAAAAAAACCTTGAAATCAACTTTAAAAAGTAATTTTTTTTAAGATTCTATTTATTTATTTGAGAGAGAGAGAGAGAGAGAGAGGGAGAGAGAGTACAAGAAGGGGGAGGATCAGAGGGAGAAGCAGAGTCCCTGCTTGAGCGGGGAACCCAACGCAGGACTTGATCCCAGGACTGGATCCCCGGGCTCTAGGATCATGACTTGAGCCCAAGGCGGACACTTAACCAACTGAGCCACTCAGGGACTCCTGAAAGTAGATTTTTTTTTTTTTTGATCCCTGTCTTAGTCCTGTCTCTGTCTTGTCTCTGTGTCTCTCTGTGCCTTCCTCTAAAGCACATACACACACGCCCTTCTCCCATGCTTTTTGCTGACCCAGCCCCACAAGAACACAGTTCTTCTCAGGGAACCTGACAGGAGTCCTTTCAGGCTCCAGGGTCCTGCAGCCCCTGACTTGGGTGCCAGGATGCAGGAGGACAGGCACAGCCATGTCCTCTGGGGAGCATGGGGCAGCCACAGCCACAGGCGTGTGGGACCAGGGCATGGATGCCAACAGTGCTGCCTCCATGTGAAGCGCACCCTGCCAAAGCCTCCTCGCTGCATCTCAAGGTCACAATAATAGATTATGAAAGAGTGGAAAAGCACTGCACAGAAAATGGGCCATGGGGACTTTCCTCTGGGTAAGGAAGCAGAGAACAACGCAATGAGGCAGAGGATCATTTGAGCTCTGCAAGGCAAGAGAAGCGGACTGTGGGGTCAGTCCCTCCAAGCCTGCAACATCTCCCCTCTGTGGGCTTTGGAAAGACCCGATACAGAGACAACACGGAAGACGTCACGATTGGAAAATGATTTCTAAGGTGTTTTTATGTAGGAGAAATTCTATCACAAACATTAATGTGTTTCACAAGAACCAAATAGTTTCCTATTATGTTTCATGGCAGTGACTTTTTTTTTTAATCCCTTGCAAATTAAGGTGAGACAAATGTTCTCATAAAATAAACATTTCCCTGTCTTTGAAAACCACTGATAAATAGTCCAGGCTAATAAAGCTTGCCTCTCCTAAAAAATATGGGAGGGCTGTTATTCTGGACTAGCAAACAGAACTAACTCCTCAAATGCCCTGATAGAACAGAAGACCCAACTGTTCAAGTTGTGACGCCCTAAATGATGACAATGGTTTCCAAGGGGCTGAAACAAGTATGCTCGAAGAAGACGTCTTATGTAAGATGCTATAGCAACCATAATGCAAGTGTGGACTTAAAAAATAAATAACTCAACAGCAAAAGTCAAATTCCTCTATGAAAGGAACCTTTTTTTTTTTTTTTTTTAAGTGAGCTCCATGCCCGACGTGGGGCTTGAACTCACGACCCCGAGATCAAGAGTCGCATGCTCCACCAACGGAGCCAGCCTGGGCACTATAAAAGGAACACTTTTAATTCAAACCACACTCACCGTTTAAAAATACTTCGTGGTCTTAACTTTTTCTGAGACGAAAGCAAGTGGTTTGGAGTAAAATCAGACCCCTGGTAATTCTCTAAGGGGATGTCGGATAAATTCCTACACAATTTATTCCCAGATGGTTTAACAAAGAGGTCACCGTCTTACAGGATCATATCCTAGGGGTTGAATGTCCAGGGGAGGTGGCCAGTAGGCTGCGTTGTAGATTCCAGAAGCTTTTCTAGTCTCCTTTAAATTGGTAGCAGCAGCTCTGCCTTCTGCCCACCCGGAGCCAGCACTGGAAACCAGTCTTACCAGTTCCTGAGCTGCCAGCCACCTGGGCAAAGTGTCTGGGCTGTGGGCCTCTTTCCTAGGAGCTGGCCTGCAAGGGAACTACTGGCAGGGATTTGTGCCTAAGGGCAAGTCTGCAGGCCTGGCCAGAGGGAGACCACAGGGCCTGGAGAAGCTCCTGGATGCTCAGGGCTCCACTGAGAACCATGGTCACGTCACACAAGCCCTTCGCTGGGAGAGCCGAGCCCTTTCCAGAACAGCTCACGAGCCTCAGGCCTTCAACCTCAGCTGCAGATTTTCAGCTCGAGTTTTTCCTCCCAGTTATTCCTCTTCCTTCTGTGGCTTCAGGCAGGTCACCCTGCGGTGTTGCCAGTCCCCCCTCTTTGCGAAACAGAGGAGATGACTACTGACTTCCCGGTGAATCATCATCAGAGATGTTCCCAGCCAGCCCCAGAGGCCAACAAAGCCTCATGGTGCCTCCCTCCGCTGCATGCCTTGGGATCCGCTGAACTGTAAGGATGTGGTGATGCCAGGCCCAGGATCTCCCGGTGTGCCACCCGCAGGATGGAGCTGCTGCCCTGCTGGGGTGCTGTTGGGGGGGCGGGAGGTCTGGGGGAGGAGGGTGCCAAAGGCCGCTGCCCCGAGTCGAGCATTCCCGGCCCTGCCTAGAATCCTTAACGAAAGAGGTGAGAAAGGAGAGGCCATCACATCCCAGAACACTTTCTTCCCTATAAAATAAAGAACGCTCAGTTCCTTCATTTAAAATATATTTTTTCTTGGTTACAAAATAATTAAAATATACAGAAAGGTATGAATACAGCTTGAGCCCCAGGTATCCACCAAGTAATTAGCTTTCACATTTTGCCATATTTGCTTCAGACTTTTCTTTAAAAAAAAAAAAAAAAAAAAAAAAAACTGGAGTCATTCAACCTAGCACAAGGCAGCTCCCCAAAGGGATTTTAAGGGCTGCAAGTGCTAGAGCAAATGCAACACGAAATGAGCCCAGTGCGTTCCCGCAGGACAGCTCAGTTAATGAGCACTGTTTATCTGTCCTGGTCCCTGTGCTGTGAACTGCTAGTAACCTAGTCTGGGCTCAGCTCTTGTGACGGACGGACGTGGGGGCATGAGTTCCCTGCTTGGTCTCACGTCCTGCCTGCCTGCCTGCCGAGGCTGACTTGCCACTTTGCAAATGCAGCCACTTCCAAATCCTGGAGCCAGCAGGCAGCCCCCTGGTGTCCACCCCTTCTGAGCCCCTCGCAGTCCCCCACGTCCCCCCATCCCAGGCTGTCCACAGGCACCGTTTGGCTTCAGTTCTATGTTCTAAGTGTTTCTATGAATATAGGCTTTGTGGACTGTGTATTCATGTGACATTAATCCCAAGGGGAATCAAAGCAGCGTAGATGCCATTATCCTTATTTGCCTTGGATTGTCTGCTGTCAACACTCACTGCAGCCTGGGTGTTGAAAACCTGCCTGAATGAGGCCTGGGACTGGAGGGCAGAGCAGAGTCATCCCCGGCCGTCAGAGGGGGAGGAAGGCCTGGAAGCACATTACCTCTGATTCCAAACCTCCACCCAGCGTCAGGACGCCGCACAACGCCTGGTCCCCAGAGCTGGGCCTGGGAGGGCGCACTGTGATCTGCACAGAGCTGGAGCCACCGTGCTCCTTCAGCTATTTTTCCGAATCACCAGGTCACTGATTTTCCTGAATTCTGGCATCAAAACATCCCAGGGTTCCCTTTGGAGCCCGTGCAGCCGAACAAACCTGTGTTGTGGAAAATGAGAATAACACGGGCCAGCATCTCTCCTCCTGCCAGGGGGTGAGTGCAGACGGACCAAGGAGCCCAAGGCCTTACCAACAAGGATGCCTTTTGCAATTCCAGGGAGGCGGGTAGAGGGGTGGCCCTCGTGCACCCCGCCACACCCCTTCTCCTCCTAGCAATTGGTTCCTTCTCAAGCTTGAGAAATCCAAGACTTGCATCTGTGCTTACTGAGTGGCCTTCACCAGCCACCACTCAGGGGCGGCAGGGCGTGCATGGCTGGTGACAGCTGTTCCCTTGACTTTCCGGAGGAGGAAATTAACTCTGAGGTTATAAAACCATGATAGGAACTGAAACTGGCCCATCTCTGCCTGTGCCTCACACCCTGCTCGTTTACAAGCGTGCACATACACACACTCCGTGGGGTCACTGGCCCAGGAGAGGATGGTCGGACAAAGGCCCGCTCATCCTCTTCATTCCACACGCATGGTGCTCCTCTGCAGTCTGGCTGGCTGGTGGGCAAGGGTATGTTTGAGAAAACCCACTTTTAATCCAAAGTGGTGCTTAACATCCCAAGAATTGGCAGGCACGCCTAACAGGAGCCTCCCTTCCTGGGCCACGTGGCAATGCTCCATTTTGTCCTCCCCGGGGAAGCTGGCAAGTTGGAGTCTCTCGCAGGTGAGGGAGTGGCTTCTGGAAGCACAGGAATTACAGTAATGGATTAGGCCGCAGTGCAGACCGTCTGCATCCCCAGCAGAGAAGCCAGAAGGTCTGGGAGGAGGCTTAGCATTCTCAATGAGCACTCTTCCAGAAACCCGCCAGCTTCCGCACAGCCACCCTGCTGCTGTGGGGAAGACCAGGGCCCTCTGCTTTGGTTTGCTGCAGTGACGTGCCATGTTCTCTGCCTACCCAGCCTGAGAAACAAAAGGGAAGGGGCTGGGGGAAGGCAGGGGGTAGCTCTTCTCAGACTTCCAGAGAAACAGACACCTGTCAGGCCCAGACAAGAACACTCAGAAGCAAAGGAGGGAAGGAAGGATGGAGAGAGGGAAAGAGGGATGGAAGGGAAGAAAGAAAAAAAAAAAGAAACTGACTCATTAAACTATCCAAGAAGTGTCCTATTAGAACTTCTTTTAACAGTGATAAGGATGCCAGATTGCACGAGACTTTTCCCATCAAGCCTTAATTATCCCCAAATCAAAACTTTTGCTTTCTATATTGCCAATTCTTAAGGAATTTATTTATATGTTTGTTTGTTTCTGCTCAGCTGTCAGTAACCTCCAGTCACTAAACCATATCTGAGGGCGACTGCTCAGGAGCCAGCTCAGTCCAGGCTGAGCACCTGGCTATCACCAACTCGGGGTTATGATGTTTCTCTCAGCCTCCTTCTTTTTTGGAGGAGAAAGACACCTAGTATGTGACTGTCATCAAGGTCCCAGCCCATTAGTTTAAGGGACCCTGGGGGTCTGGGAGCAATGAAGAGGGGTCCTTCCGGCCATATTCCCATCAAATACTGTCTAAGGCAATACATCCAATGTGATAGCCGTTAGTCACACGTGGCTATTGAGCATTTGACATGTGGCCATTGTGATATGCTGCAAGAGTCAAATATAAAATCATTTTCAAAGACTTCATTAAAAAAAGGATAGGGGTGCCTAGGTGGCTCAGTGGTTGAACATCTGCCTTCAGCTCAGGTCTTGATCCCAGAGTCCTGGGATCGAGTCCCTCATCGGGCTCCCTGCAGGAAGCCTGTCTCTCCCTCTGCCTGTGTCTCTGCCTCTCTCTCTGTGCCTCTCATGAATAAATAAATAAAAATCTTTTTTTAAAAAAAAGAATAAAAACTACCTTAATAATTGTTTAATATTGATTACATGTGAACTCATAATATTCTGGTTCTGTTGGGTAAAATATATTATTAAAATTAGTCTCAGCTGTTCTTATTGTTATAAGACACACATAACAGAGAATTTACCATCTCAACCCTTTTTAAGTGCAGGTCAGTGGCATTAAGTTCAGTCACACTGTTGTGCAACCACCACCATCGTCCATCTCCAGAATTTTTCAACATCCCAAGATGAAACTCTATCCCCATTCAACAGGAACTCCCCATTCCTCCCTACACCCCCCCCCACCCCGGCAGCCATCCTCCTACTTTCTATCTCTGTGAACTTGCCTACTATAGGGACCTCATAGAAGCAGAATCATCCAGTAGTTGTCCTTTTGTGACCAGCTTATGACACAGAGCACAATGTCCTCAACGTTCAACCACGCTGTAGCCTGTGTCAGAAGCTCCTTCCTTTCTAAGGCTGAATCATATTCCATTGTATGTATAGACTATGTTTTCTTTGCTCATTCATCTGTCGTTGGGCACTTGGGTTTCTTCCAATTTTTGACTATTGTGAATAATGGCGCTATGAACATGGGTGAACAAATATCTCTTCAAGATCCTGCTTTCGATTCCCACAAGTTTTCTTCTAGACAGCTTTAGTCCAGAATGAATAGAGGCACAACTACTATCACACAGGAATGTTTCGACAATGAAAGGAACCCTGACATTTAAAATGCGGAAAACCTAGTTCCAATTAAAGATCTCTAAGTTTTTTTCCCAGCCATAGCACTTTATGCTTTTTCTCTCTGCTTTAAGAACTTAAACTAGAGCTTTGTTGTCAAGGGAGGTACCAGGATTACACCCCTCACCCCAGGGTGAGGAAGGCCCCTACATATGACCTGGAAGACCCAAAAATTCAGGGGATCCTTTTTGTCTATAGAATGAGCTAGTTCCTGTGACTGGGGGGGCCTTGGCTCCAGAGCTTGCTGATGTTTTGAACGTAGGGGAGGAGGCATCCATGTCTGAAAATTCTGCTGGTAATACTTTGCACCATCAGAAGGAATAATGCCTAGAGCTGGGGATAGCAAATGTGGTCTCCTTGGAAACCTCGACACTACTGATACCTTCCAATGACAAAGGCACTAATCTTGTTCCAAGGGAGGGACAGGATGCCATCAGAATCTAGTCCCCGGGTCTTAAAGGAATGAATGTATTCTTTGATTCTCTAGCCATCCCACCCACAGAGGCTGCCCCTGACTTGTCTCTGGGAATCATAGATTATATCTAGTAGGAGACAGTCATTTCTTTCCACCATCGAACAGTAATAAGGAAAGGGTGGTCTCCACATACCACTACTTTTCATAAATTCCCCTTTTTTCCCTGAGGAAACAGCATGGCCGGCCCAGAGGTCCTTCCCTTTATCTCCCCTCAGATTTCACAAAAGCATGGCCCACCCACCAGGGAAGAGTGTTCCCACAAACACTGTGGCTTATGACTCAATTTAAAAGGAGAAAAAGAAGAAGAAATTCTGTGGAAAAAGCAAGAATGGTGGGGAGCCCTGTTATTTTTTTCCTTCTAACTAAGAGGAATAAGCTTAACGCCTCGCAGCCTTGGACAGTAGTTGTTAATATGGTTTGAAAGGAAAATGATGGTGGGCACCTAGATGGCTCAGTGGTTGAGCATCTGCCTTTGGCTCAGGTTTTAATCCTGGGGTTCTGGGATCGAGTCCTGCATCAGGCTCCCTGCAGCAGGGAACATGGAGCCTGCTTCTCCCTCTGCCTATGTCTCTGCCTCTCTCTGTGTCTCTCATGAGTAAATAAATAAAATCTTAAAAATAAATACATAAAATAAAGGAAAATGATGGCAAAACTTTAATGGCAGTTGACAAAATGAAAACCAGGAAAGAATGAAGAACCAAATTAAAACAGGAGGAGCTGGTCACCCATTATAAGAAGATAATGTAAAGAATAATGTTAGGTAGAGTTATTTGAATGTATTGGAGGAAAATGCTGTATGAATCTAAGGTCTTATAGTTTATGTACAATATGAGGCTTGCATAAATTTTCTTTAATATCTAGACTCATAAATATAGGGAGATTTGATACCTTGGTCATAATAGCAACGCATACCTTGATAACTCCTTTTATGGCTAGTTTTAAGCCCCAATATCATCTTCAATATCACATGATCTCTCTTATGTTCTTGCCCTCACCTGAAGCATTCATTAGAGATATAATCACCCCTATATGATTCTGGGGGGTCGTTGTAAGGATCTAATGAAATAATAGACATGGGAATACTCTAAAACATCAAGAGCACCATAAAAAGGATTATTGTAAAAGTAAATACAGTTCCTTATACCAGACTTCTTATCAGGGGGACTGAGAAAACACTGATTTTCATAGAAAGAAGAAAACCTATACTGACCACGTTAAAGACACAAAGTACAGTATTTCTTACCCAAGTCCACCAATGTGCATCATCTTTTTAGGAAGGTTATAGGGACATCGTGGTGTCATATGCTTCATAAAATTCATATTTAATGTAGAAAACCTTTCCTTTGCAGCTAGCTGGATGAGGGTGGGAGAGAGTTAACCAAGAGAACCGAAAATAATGCTGTGACCTCTGCTATTATATGCACAAAGTTTCCTGCAAGTAGCAGCCAAGTTCCTGGAGAAGAAAGAAGTGTGTGTGTGTGTGTGTGTGTGTGTGTGTGTGTGAGTGTGTGCGGGTGTGTGTTTAGCGTCATAATCATAAAACTCTTAGGTACTGTGTGCCTTCATCCTTCCCTCCTTCCAAAAAAGGCAAAGCATCAACATAAGCAGCGCTGGGCTCAGAAATCTTCCGGCTTCTGTCTCCAGTTCTGCCCAAGTTATTAAACCCAAGGGTCGCTGCTGCATATAGAACCCACTCCTCCTGCACACGTGGCAGCTTGGCCTGAAGCAGGTGTGGCAGTGACACAGGTGGCTTGTTTTTCAGGGTCAGGTTGGCACATTTCTAGCCCAGGGCTCTGGGTAAATGTTTAGATTTCATTTTTCAGTCGCATGGTGTTGGACTCCACAGCATCAAAGGCAGGCCCCTGCATGCTACCCTCCTACATCCTTTGTCTCCTCTCCTGGCCTGGTGGGAAGTCAAGAGGTGAGAGGAGAGGAGAGGAGAGGAGGGGAGGGGAGGGGAGGGGAGGGGAGGGGAGGGGAGGGGAGGATGGGGTGGGGCGGAGCGGGGAGGTTTTGCAGTGCC